CAGACTATCCTTAGCTAGACCATGCTGGGAGCCCCCTCTCTGGGCTCTCTTTGCCCCCACCCCCAATCCATTCTCCAGCAGCAGCCAGAGTGGTCTTTTAAATTCTTTAATCAGATCATGTCACCCCCAGCTTACACCCTGCAGCAATGACACTAGTAGCTGATGGGTGTATAGAGCACAGAAAGGCCAGGGTTTGTTCAGAGCACTTTACACGTATTCACTGAACAACACTTACCCCACTTTGCAGATGAAACCGAGGCCACATGGATTTGTCTCAGTGGGCTGGCTCTGACAACCTTGCTCTGTGCATCCTCTATGCTGCCTCTCCCCGAACAAGGTCCAAACCTGCCAGGCCCCCTGGTTCCTGCCTCCCGCTGGTACCTCTCCTTAAACTCTTTTGTTCACCATGCTCCAGCCACTAGACTCAACTGTCCTGGAACCAGCTACGCATGTTCCTGTCTCAGGGCCTTTGCTCTTGCTGTGCCCCTCTCGGGTATGCTCTTCCCCCAGAGCCCCCTGACCTCATCCCTCAAGGCAGTGAAGGCCTCTGACCACCCTGTTCAAAGCAGCCCCACCTCCTCCCCCCAGGCCTCGTGCTCACTGTCCTATTTCATTGTCTTCAGAACACTTAGCACTACCTGAAATAATAGCATTCGTCCTATCCTTGTTTATTGTTCCTCCCTGCCAGAAGGGACAGGGCTGTGGACAGGGCCTTGTCTATTGGTTCACCACCACACCCTGGGCCCCAAGACCTGTGAGGTCCCTCCCGTACGTGGTTACCAGCCTCACATACTACTTCAATAAAAATTAATTAAAATTAAACAAAACTGTAAGTGCAGTTTCTCAGTTGCATTAGCCACATTTCAAATTCTCAACAGCCACCTGTGTCTAGTGGCCACTGTCACAGATGTGGCAGATATAGCACATTTCTATCATCACAGAAAGTTCTAGTGGGTAGCACTGGCCCAGACCACATGACACGTCACAGAAATACACCCCTGGGGAAATGAAGCATTCATTCATTCACAAATGAACACCTTTCTAGGTCTAAAATATACTCCAGGTGCCCATCCCACCTGGACGCTCACAGCTGTCTCACCGCCTGTTATGACCAGGCTGGAGATGGCACGGCATGCGGGTGTTGGGGTGACGATGGGGTGGTGGGCCTGTTGTCCCTGAGGAATGGTACCTGCGGCAGACAACTAACACGACTGTTACAAAGGAAAACAGGGGACCACTGGGAGCCCCTGGAAGCCTGCTGTGTGGATGGGTTACTACCCACTATTGAAGGAAGACTGTTGGTTCCTTCCTCCCAGCAGATGCCATTCTGAAGGGGAAGCCGTGCTGAGAGGAGCCAGAGAAAAGCCGCCAGACCTCATGTCCCCCTCCCAACTCCGTCCCTTACAACCTGCTAACTGGGCAAGTCATTTAATCTGGGAAACGTCAGCGGATGTGACACACATATTATCACATCCTCCTTCTGAGCCCAAAGCAGACATCGCTCAGCAATCACAGCACCTTTTCCTTGATGAACCCGAAGGAAGGTTCCAGACCCTTCTCAGGCCAGCACTCCAGGCAGCCACCTCCCCCAGAGTTGGCAAAAGAGACACAAGTCTATCCACCACGTGGGATCTCAGCGTCCTAAGCCCCGGCTTCTGCATCTGCAAGGTTGGGAACACCACTGCCCACCCTGTAGGATTGTCGGGGGTTAACGGAGATGATTCCCTTGTTCAGTTTTTGATTCACGCATCAACCCTTTACCGAGTGTGCCCACTGGGTGCTTCAGGCATGCCTGATGCCCACGACCTGCAATAAATGGCGGCTGCCGCAGCAGAGACTTCTGTGTGCTGCCCTCTGTGCGCTGCTGTGGCCGGGGGCAGCCTCTGTGTCCTCACCTCCCCTCTGAAGTCCCTCTCCCCTGGGCCAGACCGCACTTACCATATCGCCTAATGAGGGGGAAAGGAGCCCATAAATGTTAGCGCGAGGATTTAACAGGCGGCACATTTTCCAATAAAAAAGACTCCCCTTTTCCTAGTACCTTCTTTTCTTATGTTCTAAATAAGCCTTGGTTGGATTAGCTCCCCACGTTTAACTTTTCTTCCTCGGATTCCCACACACAAAACACTGTATTAACAAGCCGTGTCTACCAGGCCGAGCTATATTTCCTATAAACTCTCATTTTATCTCCTCTAAAACACACAGTAATAGCATTCTCCGGAGAATATTAAATCAAACCAACCTGCAGCTGCATTTGTTTGTGCTTTTCTGCCCCCAGTAAATTCTGGCAACAGATGGGTGTGCGTTATATAAGCGGGGCCCTGGCAGGGACTGCAGCCTTCCCCGCTTCCCCTGGTGCAGAAAGACCTCGGCTCTCTCGTTCCCGCAGCCAGCAGCTCCCCGAGCACTGCAATGGCGCCCTGACGCTCCTGTGGGGCTCCTGAGACCCTGCTCCGTTGTAAAATTGCATCCGCACGGGGAAGGCTGAGCGCAGGTTAAAGAAGAAAGGCAGGCCTTGGCCAAAAGGGACGGGAAGCTTATCTTCTTTGTGATCCCGCACACAAAATCTGCTTTCCTGGGCCTGAGATAGATTAATATATTCGTTGACAGGGCTGCGCTACAGGGTACAGGCTTGGGCAGCCAGTATCGTTCCGTTCCCCATTCTAGAAGAGGGGGCTGGTGACCACCTGCCTGCAAGCGCTGAGCAGGACTTGGGAAGAGAGGGCCCGGCCCTAGAAGCTCAGAGCTCACTGCGGCTATGTGGGCTGGGGCTGCGTCCCTGGCCTGGAGGTCAGCCTCTGGGCACACGCGGGGCCGGCGCTGGCAGGTGGCATAAAGGGGAGGCTGACATGCCCAGAGGAAACTCCTCACTTATTCCAGTGGCTTGGATTTCTTTTTCTCAGCTTTAAATTATAATTTCAATTTAAACTTTTTCCAAAATTAAAGAACTCATAAAACAGAAATCAGAGAAAGCTTTCTATTATATTTCTCTGTGCAGCATCTTGTGCGGAGAGCCGGCTGGGACCGTCTGCCCTGTCAGTCTCCAGATCCGCAGTGCCTAGCGATTGACAGGTGCCCAGGACACAGTCATGAGGAAGATGGATGGCTGGGTGGGTGGCAGGACCAGCAGGAAGCAGTATAGGAAGGGAGGAGGGGAAGGAGGGAGGGAGGACTGACTCTCCTGGACTAGGTCCCCGGCTCTGCCTGTCACCTGCTGTGTGGTCTTGTGCAAGCCACCTAACCTCGCCATCCCCACGCTCTCAGCTGGATGTCGGAAAGGATAATGCAACTGCTTCTGGGTTACTGGGAACAGCACCTCATTCACGCATTCATTCATTTCTCGTGTCATTACAGCAGGAGTAGAGACATCCAGGCCGTGCTCTCAAGGGGTCTCTGGCACCATGGGGGAGGTGGGCGCAAATTCTGGCATAGGGGATGACGAACCATATTCACGAGGTCCAGACGTAGTGCAAGGGGCAGTGGGCAGCATTGGCTTCCTGGAGAAAGTGATGTCTGGGTGTTCCTGAAATATGAGGCCGAGACGGGCACTGTGGTTGAGTGTGATGGGGGGGTAGGGGTGGGGATTAAGGGAGTAACTCCCGTGGGGGTTTGAAGCAGCAGAAAGGTGTGATCAGCCCTCCCCAGTGGCTACTGGGGACAGACTGGAGAGTTGGGCGTAGGGCCAGGGAGAGAGAGTCCGAGGCCATATTCTTCCACACCTCTATGCACCCTCCACCTGGGATATACTTTCTCCTTTCCTGTCTCAGTTTACTGCTGCTGTCTATCTGCACCACAGCTCAGGTGTGTGTCCCTTCAAGAACCTTCTCTGATCTCTCCCAGCCCGAGGCTGGCTTCCTCCTCCAAGCCCCATGCAGCCTGGGACAGGCCAGTTCTAGCCCAAAGATGAGTTTTGTTTGAACTATATGGTGGTTTAAAAAGAATTCAAATTAGCTGTTGACATTTACAAACCAGGAAGGTTCATATCAAAACTCAGATTTCCAGCTCGCTGGGAATATTTAGAAGATCTAGCAGCACTGGGATTCCTACAGAGTGATCATTAGTGGAAGCTAAAAAGTGGTCTTCCCTTTACCCGGGGCATGGGCTTGCCAGCCTGCCACAGCCCCCACCACTCCCTAGTGTCTCTCGACAATACAGAGGCTGAGGATCAGTTCCTGTTTATGATCTCACTTGAACTATCACTTCCCTTGTAGAAGATCTGAAAGGAAAGTACAATTCTTGCCCCTACATCTATCATAAAAGGGGAAACAAGACAGGCCCAGTGAGTTCCTGTCCTTCCTCACTCACTGAGTCCCCTGCTGGAACTATGAATACCTGAAGAACAGTCCAGAGAAGGTAGGACAAGGGCGTGGGTGCAGGCAGCGGTGTGAGCACAAATGGTGGATAGTGTGAGAGCAGAAGGGAGCGGACGGATTCTAAAACCAGAGGGCCACGCCGGCCCGAGGTCAAGAGCCTGGCTCTGCAGAGTGGGGTCCTCAGACCAGGGAGGCCAGCACACCTGAGAGCAGGTTAGACACACAGCATCTTGGGCCCTGCCTCAGACTTGCCAGATTAGAATCCACATTTTAGCAAGATCCCCGGGCGAATCATTGCAGATTAGTGTTAGAGAAGCCACAGCTGAGAGAACAGGCCTGGAGTCCGAATGCATGGGTTCAAATTCTCACTCTGACGCTGACTGGCTATGTGACTTACATAACCTCCCTGTGTCTCTGTTTCATTCTCTGTAAAATTGAATCTTGGCTCCTATTTTTCCAGTTCCCCAAAGGGAGGCCTGATATCACTTCCCAAAGCTTAGGAGCTGGAAGCTCTGTCCTGGTGGCTCTGAAGAACGCCGTGTGACCCCCAGCAGGCCCCTGCGCACACACGAGGAACGGCAGCAGAGCCTCTTTGCATCCACGTTGCAACTCTAGGAATCAGGCTATTGGCAGACCACTAAGTGCTTCCACCAACCACGTGCCCGCGAGGAACTGGAGCCCGTTACTTACGCCATCAGTTGTCCAGTAATTCCAAACCTTGACCTTGGCCAGATCGAAGTCGTGCAGCTGCCTTGTGTTGCGGATGACGAAAAAGAGCTGGAGCGGCGGGTGGAAGGGGCAGGTCCATAAGGAGGCCTCTTTCTTGCCCTGAAAGGCCAGCAAGAGAGGGGCGTCGTTAGGCACATTCCTGCCTCTCCCCAGAGTAAGACGGTGGTGAGGTGGTGACTCTTTGGCTCATGAGAACCAGGAGAGGGCCGGGGGCAGGGAGCCCGGCCACCTCTGCATCGCCCGGGTGGGATTCAGACCTCATCCCATCTGGACTGCCCTTCACAGCAGACTGTACTGCCCCGTCCCCACGCAAAGCTGCCGCCTGGGCCTCTCTGATCTGCCAACCAGATGAAATTTAAAGTGCAGTGGGCTTTATTTTAATCAACTTAATCAGCTTTGAGGAGAGCCCTGGGGGCGGGGAGAGACACCAGAGAGAAGGATGGGACGAGAGCCACCACTTGGCCATTCGATTAACCTGGCAAACAGAGCCTTTGATTTCCTTTTGTAAAACCCTGTCGAATTTTTAAAATTTAAAAATAGAAAAGGAAGAAAGAAATTGGCTCAGGCATTTGTTGGCATTTTTTCTGCTCCTCTCAGCATCTCCAAGGCTCGAGGTCTCAGTTTGCAGTTTTTACCCTTGCAGGGCTGCCCCTTAAGGCCTGAGGGGCAGAAGAGCAGGGAAGCCTCGCTGCCATTCTCACTCACACCAACAAAACTGCACGTCATGGGTGCTGTGGGTGCAGACGAACAAAAGCCACAGCAGGGGACTTTTCTCATCCCTGGTGGCCTCCTCGCATCTCTTTGATACCTCTTCTGCTCTCCATCAGGAGGAAACTCGAAGCTGCCCCCAGCCATGTCGATGCTGGCTCAACCCCAGTGCCTTTGCACAGGCTGGGCCTCCACTTCCTTGCAATTCTTCTCCTGCCCTTCTCACCCTGGGACATTCAGCTAAAATATGACGTAGCTCCCCCAGTCACCTCTTCCCCCGAATCGGCTGTCAAGTACTCTCTCTTCCAGACACTGTCAGCTTCTGGTAGTCCCCAAGCTTGACACCTAACTCGGTGTCCCACAATCATCTCTTTTCACATCCATGCTATGCCCCCACTCAGCTGTCAGCTCCTCAAGGCAAGGGGCCATGTCTAGTTCATTCCAGAACCCTCAGCATTCAGCACGGTTCCTTGGCACATGGCAAATGCCAAAAAAAACTTTTTAGAGTAAATAAATGACTGAATGAATGGACACATGAAATGTACCTCCTAGTATCTGCCCTCTCATGGAAACTTTAGACGAGAGATTGGAAGCTAGAGCTGGCTCGAAGAGGTATTTTGTTTGGTTCATGAAACGTTAAAAAAAACAAAAAGGCAAAGACGAATTCATTGCCAACGTTTAAAAATGGGAAGATTGCCCCCCAGGAGCCAGATTTCTGGCTATTGCCTGGGGGTTTATGTGCACGGCCCTGAAGACTGCAGCTCTCTCCAGGGCCCCACAGTCCCCACCATTCCCTAGTGTTTTACACCTGCCTCACCTCCTTTCTATGTCCCTGCCTGACCTCTGCAGGCATCTGAGTTTGGGGCTCGGTCTTGGCAAGCCCCATTGGCCAATGAGCAATCACTGCGGCTGTGACACTGGCTGAGCTGTCCCTTTTATCTGCAAGGAGCGGTACCTCGCATTTGAGAACATCTCAACAGACCCTCATCACCAGGAACGTGCCTGCTGCTTCAGAGCCAGGGAAGGAGGACTGGCTGATCTGGGAGATGGGAGACGGGAAGCCCAGGCTCCAGCTGTGGGGGAGAACAAACGGGGCTTGTTCTGGTGACAATGGTGCCTTTCAGGAGGGAGGAGGTTGCTTTTGTTCAGGGGGAGCCTTGTGTTCAAGGGGTTCTGACCTACTCTGGCAAGTTTCTCCAGCTCTGCAAGAACTTTTCGTGCTCTGGGCAGCTGCGAGGGGTCAAGAAACCGCATCTCAAAATCCAGCATTTCAGTCTCATTCCTTCGCCGAGCGGGAGCATGAAATGGGTCGCCGTGGCCGCCTGACAAAGGGAGAGACTGAAGACTGCCCCTTAGATGCGGGCGAGGGGACTGTAATGGATTTCCCTTCACATTTCTGTCAGCAGGAGGAAGAACAGCAGGGCTAAGCGGGAATTGTGGTGTTCAAAGTCGGAGAACATTACCCTGAGGATAGCTCCAGGCCTCATTAGCAACCGAGCCTTCTGATGTTTCCTCCCCACAGCCGGAATCTCAGAGAGAGGCTGGCGGGAAGCTGCCCAGGGCTGACCTGGCACATGCTGGGCAAAGCCCTTGGTGGCAGCCCAGCAGGCAGAGCTCCTCCCTCCCCATCGCAGGTGGTAAGGAAGACGGCAGACCGAGAATCAGGGCGCCTACACGCTGCTGCCGTTTCCCTTGGTTCTCTCAAAGCCCCCGGGGCGGGTAGTGCTGTAACTGACACTGCACTACTGATGAAGACCGAAGCCCGACAGGGGGTGTGATTCGCCCAAGGGTGCTCAGTGCCCATGTGGTGGAGTGAAGATTTGAACCTCGATCTTTAATTCATTAATTCATTCTGTCTCAGTTAGGCTTCCCCCAGGAGCACAGCCTGATGGCACAGATCCAAGCGTGCGTAGTTTATGTAGACAGAGAAGGAAACACCAGGAGGAGAGTGGGGAAGCGGGATGGGGGAGGGAAGGCAGCCTAGAAAGGGTGTGTTATCAAGCCGGCTACTTCTGCGGCCACAGGGGCCCCAGGGAATGCGGGAGCCAGTGTGGAGCATGCCTCAGAGCGGTTCCACCCTCGGGACAGGGGATCTGGGATATTTACACCCCAACTCCCACCAGCGTTGGGTGGGGGCTGCTCCTGGGGGCCTCAATCCGCTCCCCCTAGTTAGGGACTGCAACAAAGCTGGCAAAGCGGGCCCTGGAGGCCAGACACAGAACCCTCCAGGATAGAAGTCTCCGTGCTGATGGTCGGAAGAGCAGCCGGCATGCACGGACATAGTAGAGCAAGCGGGTGTGAGGGCGAGCACAGCCAGCCTCCGCTACAGGCTTGCCCAACAAATGCAGGAGTACCGAGTCCCTCCTGGGGGGCAGACACTGAGCCAGACACGGGGGCTGTGCACAGGAACCTGAGCTACCCGGTCCTAGCAGCTCTGTGCCAGTAGGGAAGGCAAACAGGTAACATTTCCAAGGAAAAAAAAAAGGTCAAGCAGGGATAAATTCTATGAAGAAAATAAGAGAGAATTATGAACCGTCAGTGGAACAGCTATTTTAGAACCGGTGGTCAGGGAAGGCCTCTTTGAGGAGGTAACTTTTGAGTTCCTAAACCAAACGTGCTTTTCTATTCTAGCATTAACCTAACACAGACCCACCCACCAGCAGGGAGATGCCAGATCACCTTTAAAAGTGGCTCGAGTTTAATAAATTATTGCATTAAAAAGGAACGAACTATCGATACATAGAACAATTTGGGAGGATGTCAAAGGCAGGATGCTGAGTGGAAAAAGTCCATCTCAAAAAGGGTACCTGCTGTACGATTCCATTTATATAGCATTCTTGAAATGATAAAACCACAGAGAGGGACAGCTCAGTGGCTGCCAGTGTTAGGGATGGGCGTGGGGAGGTGTGGCCGTAAAGGACAGCCCGAGGGAATTCCTTGGTGGTGATGGCACTGGTCTGTATCTTGACGTCGTGGTGACTATACGAATCTGCATATGTGATAGAATTACAGAGAACTATACACACCCGCACACAAATGAGTGCACGAAGGTCTGCATGTTCTACCAATGTCAAGGTCCTGGTTTTGACAGTGTATTACTGTTACACGCGATTTACCATTGGGGAAGCTGGGCAAAGACACATGGGATTTCTGTCTTTTTTTTTTTTTTTTTTCTGAGACAGAGTCTCGCTTTGTTGCCCGGGCTAGAGTGCCGTGGCGTCAGCCTAGCTCACAGCAACCTCAAACTCCTGGGCTCAAGCGATCCTTCTGCCTCAGCCTCCCAAGTAGCTGGGACTACAGGCATGCGCCACCACGCCTGGCTAATTTTTTCTCTCTCTATATATTTTTAGTTGTCCAGATCATTTCTTTTTATTTTTTAGTAGAGACAGGGTCTCCTTCTTGCTTAGGCTGGTCTCCAACTCCTGACCTTGAGTGATCCACCCACCTCGGCCTCCCAGAGTGCTAGGATTACAGGCGTGAGCCACCACGCCCGGCCTGAACATATGTTTTTAATTCTCTTAGGAATACCTAGGGATGGCATTGCAAGGTCATAGGGTAACTCTACATTTAACTTTTGGAGAAATTGCCAAACTGTTTTCCAGAGTGCCTGTACCATTTTACATTCCCACCAGCAAAATATAAGGGTTCTGAATTCTCCAAATGCTCACGGATATTTATTTTCACTTTCCCTTTTTTTAAATTATAGTCATCCTAGTAGGTGTGAAGTGATGTCTCATGGTTTTGATTTGCATTTTCCTAATGATTAATAATGTTGAGCACCTTTTCATGTGCTTGTTAGTCATTTGTATATCTTCTTAGAGAAATGTCTACTCAAAGTCCTTTGGTCACAGTTTAATTGGATTGTTCATCTTTTTGTCATTGAGTTTAAGATTTTTTTCTTTATATATTCCGGATACTAGACTCTGATCAGATATAATATTGGCAGATATTTTACCCCATTTTGTGGGTTGTATTTTTGCTTTCTCGATAGTGTCCTTTGAAGAAAAAATGCTTTCAATTTTGATGAAGTCTGATTTATCTATTTTTTATATTGGTGCTTTTGCTTTGCATGTCACATCTAAGATTCCACCAACAATCTAAAACTATAAAGATTTATTCTTATGTTTTCTTCTAGGAGTTTTAAAGTTTTAGCTCTTACATTCAGGTCTTTGGCCCACTGAGTTTGTTTTGTATAAAGTATAAGGTAGAAGTCCACCTTCATTTTTCTTTATGTGGAAATGCACTTGCCCCAATGCCACTTTTTGAAAGACTATGATTTTTCCATCGAATGGTCTTGGCATCCTTGTCAGAATCAATTGACTGTAGATGTATAAGTTTATTTCGCAACTCTCAGTTCTATTCCATTGATCCATTATACATTTTATACTTCTTCTGTTAAATTTATTACTAAACATTTTCTTCTTTCCATGCTGTTGTGAACTGAATTGTTTCTTAATTTCATTTTCCCTATAATCCTTTTTATTTCTGTAAAGTCAGTAGTAATGCCCCCTCTATCATTCCTAATTTGAGTAATTTGAATTTTCTCTTTTTTCTTGGTCACCCTAGCTAACAGTTTGTCAACTTTGTTGATACTTTCAAAGAAAAAACGTTTAGTTTCATCGATCTTTTCTATTGTTTGTCTATTCTTTGTACTATTTTTACAACTTTCTGTGAGTCTATAATTATTTCTAAATAAAAAGTTTAAAAATATGTATTGTATATATTTATGTACTGGGGACATAGTGTGACTAGGACAGATAAGATATAATAAACACGTGAACAGATTATTTCTTTTCTTTTTTT